GTAATTTTATTAATTCATAATAAATGACGCAGTGAATATCTAAAAATGTCCTCTAAAGCCCACGCAAATTAGAAAATCTCCTTGTATTTGAAAAATAACCGCACAATCACGCACAAAAAAAACAAAACTTACTTTTATTTATTGTTCGGGAACTAACACCTGCACAGACCACTGCTATGGAATATAAGAAGGACGAAATGAAAGAAATATCCCAGAACAGGAATTCTCTGTCATAACGTACAGCTCATAGCACAAATTAAGTGAATAACTACCAAAGTACTTGCTACAAGCCTCTTCTGTTCCAAAGAAATTGGAATGTTTCGCCGACAACTTCTATTCTTTTCACCTTGTTTTCTTTTGTGCAAACCTTTGCTTGCTTTCCGAGAAATTGGGGACACAAACGATGAAAACCATGTGCCTGACGAGGTTATAGGATTAAGTCATCAACGTCCTTCTGAGATAGGTAATTATAACTGCGTTTGTGGCTTTACTACGTGGAGATGTTGCCGGCGTAAGACTGGAAAAAGACAACTTTCAAAGGTAAAATTGTTTTTGTGACTAGTCAAATGTTACAACTTTTCCTTTGAACTCATCGTTTTGTTAATATTTCTCAATGAAACATACTAGTGCAAGCAGAAAAAATTACTTGCAAAGTCAATACTTCTTGTCAAACAAATTTGTCCGCCAAGCATTGCATCAAAACTGAGTTACAGACGAAAAAACTGAACTTAGGAAAACGTTACGGTCATTTTTTCCAAATTCTCAATTGCCATTCGCTTCACTCTCGACCTTCACGTTTGTCCCTCCAGTAGGTACCTCCTCTTCTATTTGCTGTGTTTATTGTACCTTCTTTAATGTTTTGAGCTGTTATTTTTATATTGTACTCAATTAAGTGGTCGGTAGTTCCCACTGTTTTAAAGTGGTTTTGATGAGTCATAAGGCTGTTAATTAAGTAAAATTAGGATAACTCAACTTTATGTCTCATAGGATTTCTAGTAAATTTTTACGATTAGTTCCAAGAATGGGTCATGCAATTTTACTTAAGTTGGCAATAAACGACACCACCTCAGACCAACTGAAATTACAAGCAAGTATTCTATATCCTACTGAACGTTACTAAAACAGACAGTCGAATCCAGTCGATTTTTGCTCCTATGCATGCAGCGCTTATTCGAGGGCGTCGCTCATTCGGTGTAATGCGGAAAACCACTTATTGCTGATTGCCGCAATGCTTCAAATGTACTAAAAGCAACTGAAATCTGGTATATAAACATTAGCCTTTGTAATTAATTTGACCTTCTTTCTTATTTTTGATAGCATGTCAAGCCATTCCAAGCATCTGATGAAGGACCAAACCAGACAGACAAAAAAGATGATTTACCAAACCTTCCTGAAATTAAATATATCCAACGACCTTCTAAACACCGTTATCAGCTTTTCTATGTAAGTTTTTAGAATGAAGATCGAATTATTTTTGCCACTTCACAAAGTTTAATATTAAACGTTTGCTCAGACGTTTTGCCATCCTTGATCCTTTATCAGGCAAGACGTTCTAATTTAAATTGCGCGATTATATTCCGCCACATTATAGAAACTTAAAATTGTTATATAATTCTTTTTCTTTCGTCTTTTAGTGAAAAAAGGTGGAAAAGCTTAGCTCTGCATTTATATTAGACAGCAAAGAACCCTGATGAATCCAAAGGCTACAAGGAAAATCATTACGTCTACAAGCATAGGGTTGCGTTTCAGTGGCGAAACGGAAAACGTGGAGTAATAACTATTGGATATTTTCTTATTGATAAGCGCTTTAACCATATTGTTTATGGCAAAGAAAACACTAAATAGAACGATGACATGTTTGCCTGTATGATCTTGTCATGTGTTCCAATATGAACTGTTGGTAATTTCCCATGACAGGCTTGAAATGAGAAGAATTTCGGTCTGTGCTGAACCGTTCAGACTGCTTAATAGACTTAAAGAGAAAGACTAGACTAACAATCTAAGTCTGGAATTAATAATATTCATTGTCTTGCTCAGAATGATCAGTGATATTAATGGCTTTCATAGGTATTTGATGTTTAGCATCATTTTAATAAAATGATAAAAACAAAATGCAAAAGCTTTGTTGCTAATTTACTGCTTGAACATACGTATAATATACAGTAAAAACCTACGAGTAAGAACCTGCATTTTTCCAAGTTACCCTAAAAACGTTCTTGCAAAAAAATCTAGGCTATTCAGGTCCTTAAACAGATTTATATTTAAAATACATTGCAGCTAAGAGAATTAAGTGGTATTCAGCTTATCCTATAGATAAAATCTGCATACCAATACGTTGCAGTTGGAGTGATAACGCACCTATGTCTCCAAAGAGGATTCTGAATGTTGACTAATCTGATCTGCCCAGGTGTACAAAATTTTTTTTCATCTAGTTTGGAAAATAATTACCTCTTTCAAATTTCGGGGGCCTATCTAGCAAATTTTAGCATGATTGGTTCTTAAAAAACCAAGTTCTTACTTGCGGGTTTTTACCATGTACTAGTTGCATCCACCTGAATTGCTTTCAACTACAACAACAACAACAACAGTTTATTCAATTATCAAATAATTTAAGACTATGGTACCCACAGTTAGAACCTAAGAGAACCTGCCGTACTGACATATTAACTTATAAGAAAGCGTTTAACTGCCTAATTAGAGACTCGTAAGCTAAGTGGTGTGATAGGGTACTATTCTTTAATGGAAGGTATATAGGAAAGAGGTACTCTTTTCTGTCAAAAATGTTGTATAGAAGAGAAAGAGGCTAGACCTCAGGGCAGAACCCCCCCGAAACTTTCTCCCAGTCCCACTCCGGGTGAAGGTACAAATATAAAATAACGAACGAGCTGTACCCACGACAAGTGGCTTACAGGGCTATTCTGTCATTACATTTCAAGAACTACGAGCCAACCTATTGACAATTTATACATGACCTTAATAGTACTTTCCTCAGTACTTGACATTCACTTAACGGTCCAGTCAGTTCTGGAGTAACTTTAGATCCTAATTAGAAGGTGTTCAATCCTAGCTATTGTTTCTCGGTGATTATTAACAGCCACTCTGATACACAGCTAAGTTTATCACTTGTTGAAAGTTTAAAAGAAAAATCTATACCAATTATACTGTTAGCTTGAGCCGAAGGTCAGTCTTATGATAAATTGAAAGTGAATTGAAGTTTTGGAAACATCCACGTAAACCTCTAACACGTAATCCGCATAAATCTCGTTAAGATACCCTACAGCAGAAAGGAAAATCCTAATTAGCTTTATGTTTATTAAATCCTTTAATCCGTATTATTTCGCCCCCTCGACTAGAAAATCCAGCAATAGATTTATGTCGATGATATTAAATGAAGCGCTTTAGATTTGATAATTGATATGGCTAATGCGCAACTTTGACAGCTTTTGTTATTTCTTGTGGACAGATGGCAAGTTTTTTACGTCCAGATTCAAGTTTCGAAGTTCATTCCTCATAGCTTTTTACTTCATGATCAATTTTTTAAGGCGCTGGCTGAACTTGGAAATATAATATTGCAAAACATTGCTTATTCTAACATGACTAAGTTTGAAAACAATTTCAGTTCCCCCCTTCAAGCAAAAATGTTTCTGACTGGTTGAATTAACAAAGACCAATTTCGTTCTTCTATGCAAAGGCTGTAAAATTTTGTTCCCACAATGCTTATCTGGGAAGCACCTAGTAAACGGTTCTTAACTTTGGGCCCGTCGGGGGTCGTCAACCCAATCCATACAATAGAAAATAAAATTTCAAAAACTTAGCTTATTCACCAGAGATTGAACATCCACTCTATCTGACAGCTGATCAGACCAGTCATTCAAATACAACTGTTTTTACCCACGTTGCAAATGTTCCTTGCGTAACACTTATATAATACGCAATTTGAAAAGACTACTTTTCATTGAATTTTGCATAGACCTTTTACATGGAAAATTTAAAGCATTTTGTCGATTTTTCGCAACCGTCAACCCCCTCCCTCCACTATTTTTTCCTCCCCTCCTGAGTTATACTGAGTGCGTTGGAAATGTTGCTCCTTTGGTACCATCTTTTGGCTTAAAGAAAGGAGTGTTTTCTAATTATTTTCTTCAACAGAACTAAATATCATATTTTCATATTTTCGCAGCCAAAGCCAATGAGTATCTGTTATTGAGCGTGGCAAATTCTTTCTCAGGGACAGTAAATCTTGCAGGGGACGGTCGCACAAAGATTGGCAAAGTCAATGATAGCGGATGTAATTGCGAACTTTTGACTTTTTAGCATCTTTAGTTCAAAGGCAGTACATTCTTACTTGGTTATTATTGGTCAACCACGGGAATCGAACCCTCAACAAGGCAGCGCTCTACGACCTGATTTAGCGCTGGCTGCAGGTAAATGTATCGTTGACTTTGTACTTCGTAAAATGACTTTGTACGAAAAGAGGATGTTGTTTGTATTTTTAAAAACATGTCACATTGAAAAACGCTGGTTAAGCACGTTCAGGAGAATCAAGGTCATTATTGAGGGTGTGTAATATCTTTCATTTCTGTTCTGTTTCTGGGGTAAGAATACAAAGGTTAAACTTTGCTGGAGATAACAATCATGACCGTAACATGCCCGATGAGATGATCAAAATGGGTTCTTTTCAAACGTTTTTAAGATCCGGACCCGAGCTAACTAATCTCAAGGACAGGCAGGCTTAATAAAAGTGCGGAGGAAACTGAATATATCGGCTAATAATCCTTACGCCCGATTCAATCGAAAAATTAAGAGAGAGAAAATAGTTAGTTTTCTTAGTGGGAGTGGGAGACTGGGGCACACGGATCACACTTCATTTACATTAAACGACGTATTTGCCAAATATAGTTTCGCAGTAAGACTAGGAACGAGAGGAGTTGGTGAGAACATCTGTGGTTTCTTCTCCTTGAATTTCGTTGAAACGGAAATTTCTGTAAGAATTCTGGATAGAAATGTCTTCTGTTTCAGACAATGCATCAGCAAAGGGTGCTGAAGGAGCTAGCGGAAGCACATCTGCAGCGGACTTGTCGAATGTTGAAATAAACGAAGCAACGACAGTTCCAGAGGTCGAGGTAAAGCATGGACCATTTCAGTCGCAACCTTCGTTGCGAGGAGAGATGACCGAGGAACAATTAAAGGAACTCGGCGACAAAATGAGGAAGGAACAGGCGAAGAAATATTTTTCGTTAAGGGTAAGGGAATTAGTTTTTTTCGTATTAGGTAGATTTTTAATGCTGAGAACGCAGTTTTTCGATTCTGCTAACGTAACGGAAACTTAGTACAAGCTTAGCTTGTACTTTGAACCATACGAGCCAAGAATTGCCTCTCAACTTTCACATGTAAGCTTACTCTGAATTTCTTTAGTCGCAAACTTACATATTTTTTTATTTAATGTTTATTCATCTTTTTTTCTCCCTTTTCTTCTTTCCATTCATTGTAAGTTTATACCAGCTGCATGTATTGGCTTTCATAATATTTTTACATTAAGATCAAGTTTCGCATGCACTCAGAAAATACATGTAGATGGTTTTTAAGCAAAATGGCAGTGTTTTAGTCACCGTTGCTCGGTGCTCTTTCGTGCAATATCCTCACATAGGAATATTTTACTGGCTTTCGCTATTTTTTGCCGTCTCTCGATGGTGTTGTTTAAATGCTTGGATCTTACTATTAGCTCATTTTTTATTTATAATGTTCTCGTCATTCTTGCGTATGAAGACATCAAATATTCCGTAAGTTCTGTCAGTGAATGAGGTCACCACCTTCTAGTTATATCTGAGTTTAATTATTAGGTTATCGCCTGAAAGATGGTGTTTTCACTCATGTTTGTTTTGTTTTATTATTATTATTTTTTTTACCTTGATATTTGTTTTGTGATAAAATTTTCACTTTAGAATACTGTAGTTCTGCACCTTTGACCTTATAATGTCTTATAAACGAAACATTTCGATTTTATCATGCATATTATCCCTTGCATATAAATGAATAAAATAAGGAAGTAAGGTCCTGTCCACTCTCTGTGACCATCCTTCAAGGCAGCCTAAAAATATGAATGTTATTTTAATTAACCTTGTTTTTTAATTCCTCTAGGCTGAGATGCTCATTCTAAGGCCCGGTTCAGACGCTGAACTTTTCATGAGCCGATCCTAATTTGAGTTAAGGCCGAACCAAATTATTTAGACTGACTGAATTGATTCAGACGCCGATCTTAATGACAGCTGAACTTTGTTCAAAAGGCGGAAAAAGTTCATTTCATTCAAACTGCTTACAAAATACATTATAATGATTTATGCTTTAGGTTTGGTACATGAAAAGTTTGGCATCTGAATCAAAGCTGTTCTAAAGTCACTCTAAACGCAAGATTCCTGGCCAGGCTAGGCGAAAAGAACGGCTGCATGAGCCGTTCCAAATTGAAACAAGCGTTCCTAGTTGATTCAGACGCCGAAATCTTCATGAACTTAATTCAGTGTATTAGGCTCATGAAAAGTTCAGCATCTGAACTGGGCCTAAGCAGTGTAAATCTCAAGTTAATTGCAAACAGAGCATATATCTTATTTGTCACGGTAATTACATTGTAATCTTGGATTTTTGCCAATCATCTTTCTTGGCACCACAAACTTAAACTGACTGATTCATCTTAACCTTATGCTTGGTCAGTGGCACAGGTACATAGAGAATACTTCATGGAAAGTGCTGGCGTACGGTATTTATGCACTGGTTGTTGACGTATCAGAAATCAAATGAGTGAGCGCAGCGAACGAGTAAGATTTCTGATACAAAAACAACGAGTGCGTAAATACTGTACAAAGCACTTTCCATGTGGCATTGTGTTTATTATATACATACTGAGACATTCATCATTTTGGCGGCCTTTTTATTTTAAATCTCAAAAATGCTAAAATTTGCCGCTACACACTTACCGCAAAATGACAAGGAAAACGAAGTATCAGCTTTTTAGCAAAAATGTTTGTTAAAAACATAAATGACGTAAGGATATGAGGTAATCCAAGAACTATAAGTAATCTTAACTGTTTGTTCTCAATGCACCATGAAAATGAGTGAATTTAAGTAAAATGGCCGGTTTCATTATAAGCTTAAGCTTAAATGAAAGGCAAAGTAACTCCAACAAAAAGCACAACAAAAGCTTACTTTTCGTTCTGTTTTTCCCTTTCCGCTGTTGTTTCGCCGCCTCTCTACCATTTTCTTTATCAACAGTGAAACAAACGAAACTATTCCACTCCATTTCCGAAATGTTTTTCACTTTTTTAGAGAGAAAAACACTTTGAGTAAATGTTTTCTTGTTGAATGTGTGCGAAAAGGCGCTGCAGGCTGCAATAAAAGGCGGGAATTTTGGCGCTAAACTCACACACCTCTGTGGCTTCTGATTGGACGTATCATTTTTCTCACACGTGAAAAAACATCGTTCGCGATTCTGATTGGACGTATCATTTTTTTCATGTGTGAAGACCATTGTTCGCTCCTCTGATTGGCTAGAACTAATTTGCGTACAAAAATTTACGACATAGTTTTTTGGTGAGCATTTCTCAGTATGTATATAGTAAAATATATTACATGAATTATTGCTGCACCTTGCAATAGAAAAAAAGATTTTGGGACTTAACTTGGTGACCTGAGGGAAAAGTGCCATGTTGCAGTATTTTTATCTGTAAATATTTATGGCCTTTTATTATTAAAGTGAGGTTCACTGTTGAAAACATTTCATTAGTTAGGCCACCATTTTAAGTTGTATTTCACTTTTCAGGTAACTTTTAGCTCTAGTGACCATTATTTTTTGCCTAAAGGCTACTTCGAAAGGAGTTGAATTTGGAGCACAGCAAAAGTAACTCATCAGTATTGATTCAGTTAGTTTTTGTGCAATGTTTAGAGGATAGTGTGGGGTTGGGGGGGGGGGGGGGGGGTAGGGGAGATACACGTAGGTCTGGTAAAAACAGATTTCACACAAGGCACCCCATTCAATGTTGTTAGCAGTGTTTTGCCTGTGATTCTAGCCTTAAGACATGATGTTGACTTTGCTTTCCTTGCCCAAGTAAACGCTTGAGAATGGAAGGACATTTCAGATGTCCAGGTTGACTAATTTCATAACAAAATTGTTAATAAAAAAAGTTGGGATTAGAAAAGAAGTGTGATTACATTGTAACTCCATAAATTTAAGTCCAGGTTTTTCAGGTCTGGGTATTGTTTATCGAGATTCAACTGCCTTACATTAATTTTGTCCTATGCAGGAGGGTGCATTTGCCAATGCTGTGGAGGAGTGCAAGTTGTATTTGGATGACAGTGATGGGGAAATCTTGAGCTCTTGGCTGTTAAGCGAGTAAGTGAAATCAAAGTATTTGTTCTGGCCTCCACATTAAATGTAAATGAGATATACAAATTTCTCATCATAATGACCTCGAGAATGTTGATTTGGGCTCCTTTGCTTCTTGGTCAAATCTCGTGGGGCTCTGTGGATTCTTTACATTGTCCATTGAAAGCTGAATTACATGTATTGAAATCAGGACATTGGCACATATCGTTACTGGGTATTAAATTATGTTGCAACCTCACATCATGCTTCAAGATAACCACCACCTGGTTAGCTCAGTTGGGAGAGCACCGATCTGCTGTGGTTCAAACCCTGGGCAGACCAACACTCAGAGTCTTTAAATATCTGAAAAGAATGTGCTGCCTTGTAATGACATCTGCAAACAGTTAGACTTTCTAGTCTTCTCGGATGAAGACGAAAAACTAGGTCCTGTCTCACAGCAATTTCTCTTATCTTGTTCTTATGAGAGGTAAAAGGACCCACACCACTGTTCGAAAAGAGTAGGGGACATAGACCCCCGTGGTGTGGCTGACCTTTCCTTGGCTGGGTGGGTTATCTGTAACTTGGAGAGATCTTAATATACATTTAGGGATAACCTCATGATCCTCCTTTAGGTGTTGTACCTGTAAACAGTGTATTTATGTAAGGTGCTAAGGAAGAAGTTTAGGTAAAGAAATTTTAGAGGTGGTGGTCATAAAGTTAATACCCACCATTTACTTTTCTAGATGGAGGGTGACCCCACATTTTTTCCAGATCACTTCCCTTACTGCATTATTTATTTCTCTCTGTTTTATCAAAATGATTATGTTTGTGAGAAGTTTGAACTATTTTGCTATTGTCCTCTTGACATATGATTTGGGAATTCGTGCGTTCGTTACCAACCAAAATTATTCTGCTTGGTCCATTCATCCATTTCTGGAGTTCAACTTCAGTTCAGGTTTTTTGGTTTATTTTGTTTGTTTGTATGTTTTTTTTATATGATAAAATTAATTATATAGTACTTAGAACTGAGAGTGAGGTCATTCAAGGGAGATTACAGACCAAGGCCCTTGATGTATTGACCAAGCAATAGTGAGGTCAATACATCAGGACCGAGGTCTGCAGTGATTTTGTTACAAATACAAAAGTAGTTATGGTGAGTCGTGGGACTCATCTTATGATAAAAAAAATGAGTTCCAGTCCAGAACCAATGAGTTCCAGTTAAAAAAAAAAAAGACCAAAATTCAAAATGCTTGGGCCTTAAATTATGTAACCAGACAGTCAATTTAGGACTTGCTGTTTTTTTCACAAGATGAGTCCCATGACTCACCATAACTATTTGTATTTGAATCCTATCCTTCTGCTCCACTCCCCTTTTCATTTCTAAACTGGTGGGTTCCTTTGAAACTGTTTCTAATATTATGATAAATTCTATTCGCAGGATTGACCACTGGGATCATGAAAAAGAAAGGATTGTCCTTATCACCAAGAAGACCCTTTGCTTGGTAAAGTACAATTTCATTGGGTTGAAAGTTGATGAGATGAGAAAAGTGCCATTGATCAATTGTGACAAAATTCAGATTGGTAGATTTGTGTATCCTAAAACCACCATGATGATGTGAGTACAGTAACTATTCTACTTTGGGACTTTTAATGCCAACATTTCTTCAAGGTTTTGCTTTGGAAAAATGGTATGGAGGCCAAATTCTCTCAACCCTTTAAGTCCCAATAGTGACCAACATCAATTTTCTCCTAACAATATCCATAGATTGTCAAGTGCAACATCTATGAGAATTAATCAAATGATCACAAAGAGAAAAATCTCTGATCTTTTATGAATTTCTCCCAACTTATTCTGTAAGGAAATGTATAGAGATCAGTTTAGAGAATTTGTTTTTGGATATTGGGGCTTAAAGGGTTAAACCTATAAAACTACTGTTTCCATGTGATGAGTTTCAATAGCTAATGAGTCCTGGACATCTCCCTGAGGCAAAAGCAACTTGATTGCCAGGGACCGTTGGGCTCTGCTAAGGCAGGGCTCCTCTTATGCATAATTCTCACCTTTTGGTATTGATTATCACTTCTCAAACTCATTAATAATTCATAAAGAAAAAACAAAGGAAATTAATGCTAAGGCATGGCCCCTCTTATGAGTAATTCTCGCCATTTGATATGGATTATCTCTTCTCAAACTCATTAATAATTCTTAAAGAGAATACAAAGGAAATTAATGTTCAATGAGTGTCTGGAAATCAGATGAAAAACTACTCATTATCAAGCATTTGACACAGTGTTACATCACCAGATGAAACACCTCGAAGTTCATCAAAAATACTCTACATACTGCACGTCATATTTTCAACTCTCTTCTCACTGTTTCTTCTGGTGATGAAACACTGTCTCATTCCTGATACATGTATGTTACATCTTACACATACTTTCATGAACATAAAAAATAAATAAGTGAATACATTTGGTAAATAAAATGAGGGTAGCACATAGTCCTTGCAGAGTAATAGGCCTGTGGCCTTAAATTTCTCAATTGAAGTGAAAATTGGAACTGTTGAATTATGTAAGGGAGAACGTCCTCTGGAGAAGAACCAGGAGGAAAAACCCTTAGCAGAGCTTGAGAACCAAAGTCAAACTCAGCAGTTACATATTGATGCACACAAAGTAACCTTTTCAGAGAAAATTAAATTGATGATGAGCACGGCTTTATCAAGTTAAACAAAAATATGAGAAATATCCTATACTGCTTTAGGATATAAAAATATTTTTAAAAAGTACAACATCAACAAATTATCTTGGGTTGGTCATGCATCCAGAAACACGATAGAAAAAACAAAATCTTCTCTAAAAGAAGAAAAGAGCAAAGAGCGGAAAAAATTTCTCTAAAGGACTGTCGCACACTCTTTTTCAGTCCGCGGCACTTCCAAACCGGATTGCGTGTCTACTTTGGCAAAAACGTCCAACCAACATTTCTTCAAAACTGGAATCCATGGTCACGTGCAATCCCCTTTGTCACGTTTGCTTGGCACAGAGGCAATGACGTCATGGCCAGATTACCTGCGCACATGCAGCTCGATCCATTTCAGCAGGCTATTATTCAAGCCATCACCGAGGCCCACAACGCACTTCAAGAAGGCGTGGCACAAGAATCTCTCGAGATTGCGCACAATGAGCCAATACTAATTGAAGTGTATTGTGGGTTTTCGCCGATACTTCATAACTATGGCATCCTAGGGTTTAACCGTGATCGGGGAAAGTTTGGATTTTAGGGCTTTGGATGTCGTGGTTTTAGTTTGTGAACAACGTGTATGTGCGCTACAGTTTTACATGAAGGCGTTTTTAAGTTAATTCATTTTAAGATACATGTACCTTTAAACTACTCATATCTTTGTGAGCAAAATTTAATTCAGGAGTAATCAACCAATTATTTTCTTTTGTATTACTAACTTACTAAAGATAAAGAATATTGCACTGTAAGACAAATATGGGGTAGTTTGATAAAGTGTTAATAATATTCTAATAATAAGTACATGTACATGTATAGTAACTTAATAAGTGCTCAATTATTTATACATGTTAGTACTCGGTTGAAAAATGCGTGCGTTAAAAATCAGGCTTTTATTAATTTCATACTTAGTTAGAGCTTGTAGAAAGTACATGTGACTAAAGAATTTCGCAGCTAAATATGTTGTCCTTCCCAGTCGTTTTAATCATATCCTCTGACTCACCACCTCGACTGGTCACGTGACGTGGGTTCCAGTTTAGAAGATCCAGTACATCGTGCGCTGGCCTCAATCCACACGAACATTGTAAAGCAAGTCATGGCTTGGTGCATTTGTTTGAATGGTATAACGAAATAGAGGAAAAGAAAAAGACAAGTGGCTTTAAATCTTTAATACAATATCTACTATCGAATTTCTCTTCCAAAGGTTGAAAGAAAAGAACGCGAGCCGCCATTCAGTATAATGTGTGTATGAAGTCATTTCGCCCAACAAGAAAGGGGCAGAAAGCTCCAAAAATATACAAAACTGGTGTAAATCATGCACAGAGTACAAGCGTTCAACTGTTTGAACAGCATCAGTTCAGCATTCATTGTTGGCCTTTTTTCTCCCCGTAGGATCACTGGTTACGCTGACAACAGTCCCCACTCCAAACAGTCCGGCTTGCGCATTTTCTACTCGCATCAAGAACCCGGCTTCTTCCAGAACTGGAACCCATGGTCAAACGAAATGCCTTACATCTCGTTAACCAGTCACGTGCAAAGTGCGCTCGTTGAGTCTCCACCCGAAGCTGTGCAGCACAGCCTGTTCAGCAAGGCTCTCATTGACGCAATAACCAACGCCCGAGAAACGGAACCGAACAGGGAAATAATCAATAGTTTTGAAGTGGTGGAGGCAGAGTTAGAAATCTATGTTTATATTGGGTTGAGCGCCATGATTTATAATCAAAGCAAGCTCGGTTTTTGCAAAGACCGCGGCAACGTTTTCTTTTAACAATGTCCATTTTAAAGAATAACCTAAAAATATATATGTGATTAAAGGATTTTATTATTTTTCCTGTTTATGTATGGACATTGAGGTTTGATCATTTACTAAAGTCTGGACTGCAATGCAGTATATAATTGTTATATCGTAACTTGAAAATTAGGGAATAGTGATAATATGGCGTTGAAAGTTATTCCGTCAAATTGAGTATTCTGCAGTACAGAAAAAAGGAAAGGATGTAAGGAAAAATTATCATGGAGTACAATGAAGTAGATACACACATTAAAAATTATATTTCAGGTTAAAACCAAAAAACGTCATAAATTCCCCTGATAAAACGTTCTGGATGCTACCAAAGTTGATGAAAAATAAAATGCCGCGGTTTTGGCACGGTTTCTTTTACAGCTGTAAATTTTACTTTCTAAAACGTCTGTGGATATTCAACCTCTATTAATCAAAAAACAGCTACAATGCATTACAAAATTTGCATTTTTTTTTTCTGTTTATAGACTGATCTTTTTGTGTGTGTTTTCTTTCGGAGTAGAAAGGCATGACACTAACTGAGAAAAAGTAGACAGCTAAGAAATGTTTTGTTAGTTTTAGTGTAACCAAAACCGTAGCACCTTATTTATTGTGTTGCTTGTTTATTAAACGGGTGAGTATTTAACTTGAATAAGTTTTTAAAATATTTGTCTGTTATAAGGTCTAATTGACCTGCGTCACCGCTGACGACCAGGCTTTAATAATGAAGATCATTTTGTATTTGCACGAACTCTATGTTTTATCCATAGTTGTAAATCATTGTAATCAATAATTTCCTATCAACGAAAGAAATGAATTAATAAATTTTAGCCAGTCACTTTTTGGCTATTAATTCTAGCGTATCTTTGACAACATTTTTCATACTTTTATTATTCATTGTGCTGAATGGGAATAAAGGCGACCTTAAGTGAACTCTTTAAAGAAAGTGGTGCGTTACTTGTTTGGACATATATATTCTGTCACATTTCAAACACTTGTTTTAAGAAAAAGTACAAGGGAAACGTCTACACCATAAGATGATTCCCAAAGCTGTTTAACACGAGCAAATATTAAACTCACATGGTTAGGTTGTGATTGATTTAATCGCGCGCTGTGCAGTTTGACAGACAGGCGAGGCATCATTGAACCAATCACACCTTGATACCGCATGGCAACCTCGTTCCCAGAGTCCGCGATCCTTTTGGCCAGCGACTGGGAATGAGATTGACCGCATGGTTGAACTCCTTGCGCATGATCTTTGCAATCAAGTTGAAGCGGTCGACTTCCCTGTTTACTGCTTCAGATATTTTGGAGGTCATGCAGCCGAAGATCAATAACAAATCCAACCTCCCAGGACGTGAATTTGGTGAATGAGCCATACTGAGTCAGTCTGCAGCATGAAGTCTTTCTGCCCTGATTGGTTAACAAGTTTATCATTTATTAATATTGGGGGTGTATACTAAACAGATGGATTAAAAGGGGGTGGGGAGGGGGGTGCTAAATGATTTAGGATATTATTTTCACCGAATGTCATAAGCATCACACGTTGCTGTGTTCACTTGTCAACACTAAATCACTCATTTTTATTATGAAAACCTACAAACGTGGCCAAAAGGCTTTGGGACACTTCCCCCTTTTCGCGTGTTTTTATAAGGGATTGGCAGCTAACGGGCAATGCACACTCATAAAAAACGGCCTTGACAAGGTTTCCCCCCTTGAAAAAATTTAAGGTCCATAACGTGCGGAAGCTATGTAAAGGTGTGTGACTTGTAACACCCAACACTGTCCAGGGGAAGGAGGTTGGTTAACTTGAACTGCATTTTCCTTACGTGAAAGACAAAGTCTCCCGAACGTGTTGTCCAGGATTGTTGAATTTGCCTAAACCTCTAAAATTATGTAACAAATCGCGAAGAACCATAAGGCACATTCCACACGTTAGATGAAATTTAGATCACGATTTTTGTTTGATCTCTGTCATTAAAGTTACACAAAGTAAGCGACTCGAGCACCCACGTAGGTCGCCCCTTGCAAGAACTACGACAGAAATGCCAAAGAAAACTCGAGCAAACAAAACCAAGACAAAGCAAAAAGTGTCAGAGCGGGCAGTGATCTGCAAAAATTGACTTTACTCGAATGCATTGAATTATGGGAAAATTATGAACGTTCGGATAGGATGATTGTTTTTTTTCTTTAAGGCTAACAGTTAATTTCTCTCCGTGACGTTTAACAAAGATTTGAAGAAGAAATCAATTGTTTTGAAAACGTTCAAAAGTTTCCATACGTTTAAGCCTCTATGGACCTATCCGGGATGGAAATAAGTCATAACAAGCAATATTGACAGTCGCTACATGACCTAACCGGGCTAGAAAATTTGCTTCACTCGATCAGATGTCCTACACAGATCTGGCAAGTGACACGTCATCAGTATGGAATTTCTGTGCTCGTTTCTCAGACGACCTTTCGCGAGGAACCAGTGGTGACGTCACGAAATATCGGCTGTTTCCTTAAACGAGACAAAGTAAGAATACAGACTGTCCAAACATCCCGATTTCGTCGAGATTCTCCCGATTTTGCTTGAAAATCCCGAATACCGACCAATATGCGATCGGGATGGGAAAAATCCCGATTTTGACACCTGTTATGATTTTTCCAAATGAATTCTTACGATATTTATACAAGAACACATACTTACCTGAAACTGATGCGCAGAAAACTTTTAAAACCGCACAAAAAATTAAAATAACATCCAATCACGTGACTTGTAAGCGAAACCATGGAAATATAACTGATAAGCGTAAAAATGACAATCGATTTAACGAGCATTTTAGACTAAAATTGTCCTCTCAGAACACCAGAAAAGGCTGTTCAAAGGATCAAAATTTCAGATCTTTCTGGGGGAGCATGCCCCCAGATCCCATCTAGCGGCTCTCCCCTTTGGCACTCGCCTGATACCTTGGCCCGATTTTACATATTCAAAACGTTGGACAGTCTGAGAATACAGTCGAAGCTCTCCTGACGACCACTCTCGTAATCGACCAGTTCCAGTTACGAGCACCTTTGTGAAACCCCGTTCGAACTGACTCAAAATTTGTAATAAAACCTCTCGTAAGCGACCGCTCCCATAAGCGACTGCGACCACTTTTGGGATTACCCGACAGAACTATTTTTAATTTAAGCTCTCGTAAGCGACCAGTCAGAGTCTTATTCATAGAAATCAACGCTGTAATGAAACTGACACTCCGCTAAGGGACCAGTCATTATTTATGGCCCGAGGAGGAGTGGGGGGACGGGGCGCAGGATTTGGGGCTAAACAAGGTGAAATTTAGCCGATCCCCTCTTTAAATGTTACTTTACTGAAGTGATCCCCCCTGTTAACTTTTGATGACTTTCGCGATCCCCGCCCCTACCCATGTCTTCATTTTCTATGCAAATGTGAGTGGTCCTTCCTCTGAATCCTTCCAAAGTTTTCAGCGATCCCCACTTTTGGGTTCTCAGTTACGACTGACCCCCCTTTTTGTTCTCCTAAAAATCAAGTGACCCCCCCCCCCCAAAAAAAAATCCTTCCCCCCCAGGTGATTTAAGTCACAGGAGAATAGACCACGTCCAACATATTAAAATTCTATCATGACTCCGAGGCTTTAGGGTCAAAATTGCAATTTTTTCAAGACTCCCCAGAGGAGACTTTAGCGGAAAGAAAACCAAATCCAATATTGAAAAATGACCAGAAAGCCTAGGAGTCATGTTGGAATTTTAATATATCGAACGTAGGCTATCAACGTATTTCTTGGACAACGTGAATCAACGAACAATAAAAAAGAGAGGTATTCATGGACCTAAAAATGACTAAACAACCTATTCTCCTAAAAACAGCAAGTGACCTTATCTTAGTGAGATTCCCCCGCATTTTATTCATGCTATAAAGGTAAAGAACAGTAACGTCATCATGACGCATTTTACTGATTCGAAATGAAATATGGACAAAAGCAAATGTATTCCTCCGCAAGTTTATAAGACTCCTCCGCAAAAAAGGTTAATTTTATGCCTACTATACAACTTTTGCATTTAGTGTATGGACAGTTAATAAGACCTCCAGTCAAGATAGGACAATTAGATGTTATTTTGTCCTCATACAATAAAATGTACCAAACTTTGTCGTACATGTATGATGAAGCAGATATTGCATGATACCCTCTTTTTTTTTTATAGAGAAGTGTGTCGCAAAAATTCAGTTTTTTAGAATTATAGGATTGGTCAGCATATTCAGCAAGAATAAGACAGAGTACAGGCCATTGCCAAACGCAAGTGAAGTTATTCCCTAATTTCACGAGTATACCATTTGATTACCTATTAATATCATGGGTGACGAATTACGTTAGCAATCTTGGATTTTTGACATGTTTTTCCTTGATCGTATCGATCGAGAACTCCACTCCCTCAAATGTTTAGACCTTAAATTTGGCTTATAAAGTTCAGAATTTTTCAGACTATTTCGGCAAAATACCTGTTAGAATCCTTCTTGATGTTCTCTTGTGTGTTCAGGTTTTCTAAAGCGTCTTTTTGTGCCCTAACATCTTCATTCACAGCATTTTAAAACTTCGTCGCCATCTTGACACTGAGACGTAGGAAGGTTGCCATGGCAATTTTGTAATTTCACATGTGAAATTACAAATTAACGCTGAAATTTCGCGCCAAAATTAAGGAGTAATTCGTCACCTATGGTATTAGCACCGTTATGCTCTGATGACCCAATATAAATTCACTAAGGCCCTGTTTACATGGAGGTGGGAAACCCCAGGTAGGTGAGGTAACCAGCTTTGGTGGGGTAACTGCCTGTCCATATAATCTCTCATTTTAATTTGATCACGTTTACATGATAGGTGGGGGGACCCGCCCCATTTTACTTTCACCTACCTGGGGTCCCCCACCTCCATGTAAACAGGCCCTAAAATAGGCCTGACTCTTAATGTTAAGGATAATTTGTACTGTTG